ACACCTAATCCAGGCAAAAACAATGGGGGTTTAGTTATAGTACAAGATCATACATTGCATAAGCCTGGCACAGTGCCAATGTACCTTGTTTTTGACAATCTAGTGCCTGCTTTTATGAGAATACCCACCTTTTTAGAAAATGCTTCCTCCTGGGACACTCTGCAGGGCAAAGTTAAATAGGGCATTGGTATGAGATACCTGTGACAGGGAGGAGTGCAAAACCAAGGAGTTGGTTTTCATATATATATTTTTATAAATTAAAATCAGAGGGATACACTCACCTGTGCATGCATACTTATAAGGGTGTTACTCAGGTCAATTTATACAACAATATGGTTTATATATAAATATATATATTATAAATAATAATATAATAATAATAATATATAAATAAATAATATTTAGGAGTCGAGGCCAACTGCCTGGTTTTCACAGAAACTTAATTGGAAAAGTGTTAGTGACACTTTGATAAATCTCCTCCTTAGATTCCAAAAGACTGGCTATATCCTCAGTGATCTTCGTTATGATAGGTGACACAACAAAATTGTTATTGGACCAAGGGATTAGGACCCTAGGCAGGTTACCGCTTTGAGTTCTCTTAATCCTTGACATATGGCCCTCTCTTCAATCTTCACAGAGGGCCCTTCCTTCAGTCTTTATATAGGGATGGGCAATAGGGCTGCTATTTAACCCAAGGTACCCTAAACAGCCGCCTCCGGATACCTCATTAATCCTGCTCTGGACCCTTCCTCTGCCACTTATGTAAGTCCAAGACACCTGTCTCACAGTACTGGAGCAGCAGGGGAGCTTTGTATGTTGACCCTCACTAAATGAGGGAGAATCCAGTGTCACACCGAGAACAAGGTCTATGCGATAAGGGATATGTAGCGGGCACTCCTGTGAACTCCACAGATCTCGGGTACAGATGATTGAAAGCAAATACCCTATTCTGAACTAAAAAGCAGACTCGTATGAAATAATCCTCAGGATAGTGCGAGTATTTTTAATGACGTTTATACAGCAAGCGGGCAACATTTTAACACATTGACGTGTCTTTCTCAAGCCCATGCTCTGAGACAGGTCATGACCATTTAAAAAACACTTTGCACTTCTGCTTAAACCAGTTTAAAAGCTCAAACTGGGTACACACATGTAGAATATTTACAAATATTTATCTAAAAAGATGTAATAACAAGTTATCAAGTTATTGTAGCATTTCCATCATTTATTAGAGTATTTTGCCATGTAATCAATTTTCCCCAAAGGCTAGCTGTCATCTCTAATGGGATTTTCTATGCAAATTCTGTTCCTGTATAGTGAATATTGCTGATAAGAAATAATTGATCCATAGTCTACAACAACCACACATAAACAGGCTTAAATTTTATTAAAATTTTTTTGCTTTTTTATTTTTTATTAGCATATGACATAAGGATCTGAGCAATACAGTAAATAAGAATATAATTCCAAGCTCAACACATTTCAGCCAATGTATCATACTGATTGTGGTGACTTTCCTAAGGAAATTGCCAAGAACACAATGTAAATGGAATATTTATTAAAAGAATAAATATTTAAATTGAGATGTTTATGCCACCAATAACTGTTAATTATTTTAAAGAAAATTCTTATTTATTCATAACTTATCAATGTATAATGTGTTTGTTATATGTTATTTATTATAATATATGATTAACTTCAGGTATTAATATATTATTTTATTTTAAATATATTTGTAATACAAATAATTATTTATACAATGTCAGCATTTGCCACTCTATTTAAACAAATACAGAGTATATAGTATTGTGATGTAGATATCTACATACACAGGAACAAAACATAAACCGACACTGATCTGACTTGTTCACAAAAGCTTTTTTGATTGTGTAACTAAAATATTTATTTCCATTTACAGAGCTAATTAAAGTGAAATAAACCAGAAAATGGAAGCAGAATAGATCAGATCTTGATATATTTTTCACTTTGTAAATACATTTGTGCACTGAGCCATTCATTTGATTTAAGAACAAATATGAATAATGTTGAATATGCAGCTTGTCTTTCTAATTTGGCAACAGATGGCAGTTATAGATAAATCCATCTGATGACCAGATGGTAACATGTATATATGTATAAGTGGATGAATTTTCGGATGTTTTTTTATAATCTGGTATTTTTTTTTGGATGGCTATTTTTTATTATTATTTTTTTAAATGTTAAATAATGTATTAAATAAATGTTAAATAAATATTTTAGTGTTAATATTATTAAAATGTTATATGTTAACAATTTTCTTGTTTTCATTTTCTAGTAGCAATTTCACAGAATATGAAGGAATATCTCATATGGTCATATATTTGTTTATTTAAAGAGCCAATATCACATTCAGTGTCACATAAATGCCAGTTAGCTAACACTGTATTTTTATGAATGTAGGATTCTTGGATTTAGATTAGGTTGGCAATTTTAATTTCCCTGGGTGTCGTGTAGCATTGGGGACAAAAGTGCGGCTGCCCCGGGCACAAAAATTGGGGGCTGCAGTGGAAAAATAATAAAGAAGTTGAGTGGCTTGGCGTGCACATCAAGTCATGCACAGGGCAGCACTGTTGATAATCAATACTATCAATACTATCATCATATATATTGATCAGATATATTAAAAATAGAATAGCTACTGTTTTAATGTGATTAGTGTCAGCAATCAGTTGCATGTATTTGGTCATCTGCTTATTTTTTCTTTATTTAAGGCCACTCACTTGCCAGTGCAGTTGTGTGGGCTGATGTTTGGTACTAGATAGTAGATACATTTTGTTTGGGTTCTCTTTAAAGCCAATAATTCTATTGATAATCCATACTATCATACTATCACGTGCTATCATATTCTTACAATAGGCTTTACTTGTGTTGAATTAGCTTTACAGCTAGAGGGACAGGGTGAATGGTGGCTTGGGGAGAGGTACATGGGGCCGTTAAATTTTGTTCTGCAACCATAACTCTGCTTATGTACTGAAAACACCCATGGTTGCATAGTATTCACAACAGCTAGGTGTACAGAAGCAAGCAGGGGCTCTGGATGCTCAAATCACAGCAATTGCCAGCAACATCAAGAGCACAGCTCCTGGAGGCTCATACTGTAATAAGGCGAAATGTTATTACTGAGCAAACTACAGGGTAGGTATGTTTAGACCTAGCCCAATCACAGTAAGCTGTGGTTCATTTGGAACCAGTTAACATTGCATTTTCATGGAGAATTATACAACATTCTGACCGAGTCAGAGACTTGGAACAACTGACATATTCATAACTGTCCACAGCGCTACTATAATTTCTGGTTGTTGTGGATACAGAATTCACTACTACCCTAGAGTTTGGAGCGTGGTCCCCTCAAAGGTACTCCTTCCCCCCTTTGGTATTTTTCCTCTTTTCCCCCTCTCTTTCTTCTCTCTCCTTTTATTTCCTTTCTTTGATATTTTGAACGGTTTTATTGATTAGTTTGAATATAATAAATATCTGACCTTTACAGTGATACAGTTTAGTAATATCCTTAATACTACTTACTCTTACATGGTTTGATCATGCCCCTATGGAAGTTAAAATAAAAATAATTTAGCTTATAATATTAGACCACATAGAAGACTGGACAAAACAATTCTATTGGCTCAAAAGAATAGAGACCATTTGGACAGTTTGGCTGAGGAGTTTCTTATAAACGACAAGGGTGATGTTTCTAGTGGAACTATTTGGTCAACTTTTACATGTGTAATAAGGGGAAATTGAATCCAATTGGAAGCTAAATATCATAAAATTAAAGGGACAGAGTTATCAGACATATATAAAATTGGCAAATTTAGAAAAGAATAATCGAAAAGATCCTAAACCATGGTTTACCAATCAAATTAAAATTGTACAACTCCAAATTAACCAAGCACTAGAAGACAGAGTGACAAAGATGATTATGGCACTCAATCAAAACTGGTACAGTAGTAACAATAAAATATGGACATCTCTTTCAATTAGGCTTAAATCAGTCAAAAAGAACCAGAGCACTGAGAAATTTTTGTAGACAATAATATTTATTTTTCCCCCATCAAATAGGAAAGGCCGTAGAAAAATATTACGCCTCTCTTTACAATCTCTCAGTTGATAAACCTCATACAACAGAGCTTAAATCCTTTTCTTTTAAAAATCAATCTTTGCTTAATAAACCTAGAATAATGTATTGATTTAAATAAGCCTATAACTTCTGAGGAATTTAAAAAAGTACTTTTAAATCTTAAAAATGGTAAAGCCCCGGGCCCAGATGCATACACGGCTCTTTTTTACAAAACTTTCAAACCAATTATAATCCTGCAGCTTTGTAAATTTTTCTGTGAAACAGGCCTTTTAAAAAAGTTCTTAGTAGAACTTTTAAGTGCCATGATCTCCCCTATTACCAAACCAGGGAAAGATCAAAATGATATAAGCAATTATCGCCCAAAATGTTTAACAAAATCTTAGCAGACTGACTTAAAATAGTTATTTTGGATTTGATGCACAATGTCCAAGCAGGATTTCTAAAAGCAAGATCGGGCAGTGACAATGTTCGTAAATTAGTCAATATGATATTAAAAATTAATAAAGAAAAAATCTTCTGTTTTTATTGCTGTTGATGCGGAAAAGACATTTAACAGAGATAGTTGGAATTTTTTAGCAGAAGAAATTTTGCACTATCACTTTACTCTTCCCCCAAGACTAAAGTATATAGGAGATGATTAAACTCTTGTTGGTTCAACATTAAGAACAGTACACATCAAGGCTGTCCTTTAGTCCCCTTACTGTACACTCTGTACATTGAGCCATTGGCAGCTGAGATAAAGCAAGTTCAAAAAGTTACCTTATATGCAGACAATATAATCTTAACTCTCACTCATCCAGAGATCTAAGTTCCTGCAGTGTTAAGGTGCATTGAAGAATTTAGCTGTTTTTCTAATTATAAAATTAACTTACATACAACACAGATTCAACGCAGCGTTTGAAGCGGTCTGCACAGCCTTCTGGGCCCGAATTGAGGCTCAACAACTACAGCAGTCCCCTGCCTTGCCTGCCACTGGGGAGACTTCCAGCGTAGAACAGATGCAATATGCTTCACATGAGACACACGAGTATAGTCCTTACCTATCTCGCAGGCAGGTGAAAAAGCCCCATCCCTCACAGGATGACAGGCGGGGTTCAGAGGCTCCTACTTCATACCGAGCGGTGAGCAGAGACACGACCCAAACTCCGGCGGCAGACACCGCTGTCCTGATCGCTACGGACCACCCGGTAGTTTGGGCCCCCTGGGGCGGCCTTTCGCAACAGCCCGGACCCAAGCCTCACTAGTATAAGGCGCAGCATTTGCCGCTGCCTTACAAGATGGTGCAGGAGAACACCGCACCTCACAAACATCCGAGGTGCCCACCAAAGGCCGGAGTCAGATGAAACCCCATCCCGGGAAACCAGAGATTGAGACCCATGACCTATGCTGGCACAGTATCATTCCATGAGCACAACACACCTGTATGAAATGTTCATATTGTGGACTTAACTGCCCAGAATCACTCACATGCACTCACTGCCTAACTAAACGCCAATTAATCGCAAGATACCTTAATGCATAATCAGTTACTCAGCTTACTTAGCACAAATGATAAGGAGGGTAGCCAATATTTCACTACTGATTCACACTACTATTTCTCAACCACGCACTTGCATCTAAGCAGAACATTAACAAGCACAGTCTCAGTTTCATGCTAACCCAATTTGTTATTTGCTATTAGAATGGCACAGTTTACATTAGTCTGTTTTTTTTTTTACTAACATGTTTTACCACAAATGCCCCTATGCACAATCTTTTATTGCTGACCATACGTATACCTGCTTAAAAACAAAAAATGTGCAACTTAATCCTGTCATGATAATGTGAACTTTGAAAACGCCTGATGATGCTATCATGGTGCCGAAGAATTGTCTGTTAACCCTATTGCACGAAAAAAAAAAAAAAATATATATATATATATATATTTATAACTGTACTGGTCAAACAATTCATTACCAGGGAATTACAATGAATTTTGAAATTTACACCTGGATAAATCTAAATTATATTACACTTTTAAAGATCTAAAAGGCTTGACCCTAAGATGGAACAAGTTGCCAATATCTAGATAATTAGTGCGGTGTAAGTGACAAGAGACTTTTACCAGTAAGTGGAGCGCTTTAACACATATAGCTTACCAACTGGTTTCTCATTCAGTATTAAAATATAAGGTACATGTCAAAAGAGAAATATAAAAGGTACAATGTAGTGCAGATGGTTTTAAAACAATAAAATTGTATTAAAATTAAAGTGATAGTGTCTTGATGAATGGAACACTCACATTTTTAGGAGCCTGTATATAAGAACACTGGCTCCGTATTATGGCTTGTGTGCTTATATTGGGTAGCACCGCCCGTCTCCTTCAGTATGGGGTGTTTCTCAAAGACAAAAAAATTGGAGAAGCAGACCAATGTGTAGTTGGTGTTTGTGAAACACAGTATTTATAGAAGTGGTGTGCTCACCTGGTCCTGAGCCTGTGGGTCCCGGCTCTAGGTATATGGGTGTTGTACCAATTTGAATGGGGATGGTACTACTCCTGGGAAGATACTCTCGAGGTTTCCAAAAAAGGACTTGAAAGGATCTTGAATAAAAAGTAACAAATTTATTTAAGTATAAAACAAAAATAAAAAACAATAATTATAAAAAAGTCCTTAATAAAAAGTCCTTTTAAAGTTGCCAATATCGTTGATAGGGAGATTTTATATACTAAAAGTCTATTTATTACCTAAAATTAAATATTTCTTCCACACACTACCCCTAAGGAAATTTGAATATGTTTTATAAACTTTTTTCATCTTTCGTTTAGCGTGGTAAAAAACCCAGAATTGCTTATACAATTATGACAGTTAAGTTAACTGAAGGAAGACTATCCTTTATGATATTTACCTACTTCATGACACAGTGATGTTTTCACATTTCCTAGAATGGGGTAACATTAATTCAATAAAGAAATCCTGGTATACTTGTGAAAAAAAAATCTGACAAAATATTGAGCCTTACCATCTATTCTGGGTAAACACAAAAACTTAAAAAAAATCTGAACATTGAACATCTTATATTATATCAAATATATAAATTCATTGATATGATAAAAAAAAAACAGTTTTTCTTACAAAATCAGACTTCCATTCAAGCTCCACTTGAAATACTGAAGATCTTTATACAAGATTTAAATTTAACCGGCTGGATAGCAGCAGGTATACCCAATATAGGTAATATGATCTCGATCTCAGAGGTCAATATGTTTTCAAGGATAAAAGAAAGACATGGATTGCTGGCTAGAAAAAATCTTTTCATATCTAAGATTACGTAATATTTAAATAGTGGAAGATTCTTCTTTCTACCTTATTCTATATGGGTCAAGTCAATTGAAACTATCAAAGATTAGGAATATAATATTTAGAAGAAATCAGGAAAAAAAATTAAAACTATACTCAGATGAAAGAAAATCTAGGGAGTTTTTTCCCCGTCAGTCCTGGCAAAAATTTTTGGAGCTATTTTAGAAATGAGTACATTGGGTAATTATTCAAGAGTGCTTCCTTAAAGACTTAATAAACTTCTAAATAAAGAACTTATGAAAGAAAATAAAGGAACATTCATGGAAAGTATTTCAAAACATTCTTTATCTTGTCTTTCTGTCTGTGTGCTTGGTTCAGGATTTTAAACCTAGAGGACCTTAGGATGTGCCATGAGCATTAGTGTTTGGGTTAGGTTTAGGAGTAGCATTAGGGTAGAGTGAGTGTGAGGGTAGATCTACGGTTTACACGAAAGTAAATTAAACGTTAATGCGATTTTAGGTTTGTCATAGTGTAGGTTTAAGGTTGTCAGTAAAGTTAGGGTAGGTGTACAGCTAGAATTAGTATTAGCATAAAGTTAGTGGTAGGGTTGGTATAGGGTTTGGAAGGCTTGGTATAGGATTAATTTTAAGTACCTAGGCATATGAGGCATTTAATCAGGACTGATAGCGAATCTATTTTTAGTACTTTTTCTTTAGTTGTACTTGATGAGTAAAAATTAAAAAGAGTGTCCCTTTAGTATTTCCCTGTTTAAAGATAAAAAACAAGGGGAATATAAGAGCAAGTGGTTCCTTCAAAGATATTTCCTGTGAACATTTTACTAATTTGTAAGCTGATACATTAGTTATTAAAAATTTCTCTCCATCGGGCATAATTCAAACATTTGAAAATTTAAAAAAAAATTATTTGGAATCCCTGATACTGAAATATACACCCTGTTCCAAATTATTATGCAAATTATATTTTTCTCATTTACCTAAATAATTGATGTAAATAATAGTCAGCATAATTCTCATGTTATCAACTATTAAGAGTACAATTCAAATTTTATTGAACAAACCTCCTAATGATAACAGTATTTTTTTTAAACATAAAAAGCATACAATGAACTGTTCCAAATTATTACACACAGTAAGTTTCAAAACACTTTATAGGTTGTAAAGAACTGAAATTGTCATTTGTTGTGGTTGTAGCATATTTAGTGAATTCAAAAGCTATTTCAATCAAACTTATAACAACATTTTAACTTTTTAAACATTTTAACTTTCTCTCCTTTTATTCCCATAGCAGCCATTGATGTAGAGGTATTCTTTGCAGCATGAGATGGTGCATTATCATGCATGAAGATGATTTTATTATGGAAAGCATAGTTCTTCCTTCTGTACCCGGGAAGAAAGTGGTCAGTCAGAAACTCCACATACTTTGCAGAGCTCATCTTTACACCTTCGGGGACCCTAAAGGGACCGACCAGCTCTCTTCCCATGATTCTGGCCCAAAACATGACTCCACCACCGCCTTGCTGACGTTCACTCATAAGTGAACAGGACTGTTTGCAATATAGTCGTCATGTATTTTTCTGCCCAATGCAGCCGTTTCTGCTTGTGAGCATTGTTTAGTGGTGGCAGAATAGAAGGTTTATGTACAGTTTGAAAAACACAGAAAAAAAACGCTAAATTGGGAAGACTACCCTCTAAGGGGCGCTCCCAATAGCTGGTATAAAAAATACACGTTCTTACAGTAAATACCTATGAGCTTATTTGAAAAAGAAAATATATATAAAGTGTATCAAGTGTAAGCAATTCAAAAGTAAAAAGCACTAGCTTCTTTGGTACTTAATTATATAAATATATATGGTAATATATATTTATATAATTCAATTTGGTCTGTATGGGCTAAGTTAACTAATAACCGTAGCTTATCTGTGCAGTAGTTAACATCTAAAAAACTTACTCTCTCAGCAATAATAATTTAGAATCTCAGTCACCAAACTCCTCAATATTGCAATCTCCTTGTGGCCATGGGCGTCCGCAGGGTGAGGGTAAGGGGGGCATTTCTGCCCGGATTTTTCAGCTTGTTCTGCTATTTTTCGTGTGATTTAAAATGAACTGCAATACCGGCGCCGGCCATTAGGTGCTGTGTATGGAGAGAGACAGGGATAGGAAGCTGCATCTTATCCCTGCTTCTCTCTGCTGATTGAAACCGCAGGGGAACAACACATGCAGCCAGAGACAGCCTACAGATCAGGGGAGTGGTGGGTGGGGGGGGGCAGAGACAGCCTACAGATCAGGGGAGTGAGGGATGTGGGGAGGGTTTGAGATAGCCTATAGATTTTTTGGGGCAGCAGCTCTATATATTTTTTGGGGCAGCAGCTCTAATAGATTGGGGAGTGAGGGATGGGGAGGGTTTAAGATAGCCTAGATTGGGGGGCAGCCTATAGATTAGGGAGTGAGGGGATGGGGGAGGGTCGGCCTATAGATTTGGGCAGCCTATAAATATTGGGGGGGGGCAGCTGCTGATTTGGGGCAGCAGCCTATAGATTTGGGCAGCCTGTGATTGGGGAGGGCAGTTTTATAGATTTGGGGCAGCAGTCATAGATTTGGGGCAGCCTATAGATTTGGGGGCAGCAGCCTTAGATTGGGGCAGCAGCCTTAGATTGGGGAGTGAGGGGATGTGGGAGGGTTTAAGATAGCCACAGATTAAAGCAGCAGCCTATAGATTAGGGGGAGTGAGGATGGGGAGGGGTTTGAGATAGCCTATAGATTTTGGGGGAAGCAGCCCATAGATATTGGGGTGAGCGTTGTTTTAGATTTGGCAGCCTATAGATTTTGGGGGGCAGCAGCCTATAGATTTGGGGGGCAGCAGCCTATAGATTTTGGGAGGGGGCAGCAGCCTATAGATTAGGGGAGTGAGGCATGGGGGGGCAGCCTATAGATTAGGGAAGTGAGCAT